GGGATTCCGCTGAACTGTGACAACGTCATCTGGCCATTCGGGCCAATAGTTTCGGAGATGGACGTGCACCAGCGGCCGGCAAATCACCACTGCGAGAGGAATGCTGCCACGCACCTCGTGAGAAACGTGCCAAAAGGTGCGGCTTGCGTATTTGCAAACTCACGGCACGAAATGTCTTGCCAGGATGGGATACCACCATGTCAAATCAAATCGCCGGGCGACAGTCACTCAACCCCCCAGTTTAAAAAACAGAACAAGCGTAGTCGGTATCGTATGCAACCTATCAACGCCTTCCTCCCTCCACAGACGCCTCGCAGCCAAGCAAGCCAAGTCCACGAAGCAAACCGGTTCTACTCGTCACGACTCCAGCACCATATCTTCCATCTTTCCCACCTTGCGTAGGTTTCCGTCGCCACGTCAGAGAACATCATCTGAGCATCTCTTTAGCCAGGAGCGAGGGTCTAGTAGTCACTCAGACGAAGCTTCTTGCCAACATCGCGCCTCCGCGCCTGCACGGCCGCCCGTTCCGACGGCTTCGTCTCCCCGCCGTCATACCCCTCACCCCGCGCCTTGAGCGCCTGCAGGAGCATGCCGGCGTCAAAGAACCCATCTGGGAAAAAGGTCAGCATGGTCATCGCGAGGGAGAAGGGCCAGGGCAAAGCTCTGGAGCATGCTGAGGAATGGGGAGTTGGACTTACATCCGCCGAGCTCGTCGTCGCTCATGGCCACGCTCTCCTCCGTAGGCGACATGGTTCCCACCGTCGATGACCGCGCGAAAGAGGGTTTCAGCGCGTCAAGGCCCGTAATGATCCGTCCGCGCGACTTCATCCTGTGCGTCGCGGGAGGCTTGGGCGGTTCCGGTGTCCTCGAGCTCCCGTGCGCGGGGTCTGCTTGGCGCCGCCAGAAGCTGGGGCCTGTGCCGCGCCTCGTCGTGATGCGGGAGCACCCTGCGCATTTCGAGGAGGTAGCTCTTCTAGAGTGTCCCCGAACGCTTGGTCTGTCGGTGCTTGCTCGAAATACAGATGCTGATACCCTCGTCTTTGATAATGTAACCGATACCGAAGCCGTCACCAGATGTGGGACCAAAGCCAAAGTGGCGCAGCGAGGGGTTGCCACAGTTTGAAGTCGAGAGTATCGTGTTGTTGAGCTTGTCCCAGCCCGGATCAGCAAAGAGAAGCGGCAAGGGGTTCACGTCTCGGCTGCGCGAGTTGGTACTGTCGCCACGCTGGCGGCGCCCAGGGGAGGGCGAGATGTCATTGGCGTCTTGCTGAGAGAGCACCGAGTCGCGGCCCGGGCTGCCAACGGCCGAACCGGGATCGCGCTCGGAGTAGCCATCGATCGACGAGTTGTAGCCATTCGAGCTAAGTCCCCCGCCCATCTCCTCATCTACAAGCTTCTGCCAGACGCAGAAGAGAGCATAGAGGTGACGGTCACAGCCTTGCGCTTTGGCGCACTCACGCGTGTTGGCCGTGTGCTTCTGACACGCCTTGCGCAGAGCCTCAACCTTTTGCTCGGCGGGATTGTCGGCCCAGAAGGTTTGAACAAAGTTGATTGACTCGGCCGAGACGCTGCGGATGGCTTCTGTGCGGCCGTGTAGGAACGTCTTGGTCATTGCAGGTTCGTACGTGCATTCGACACGGCCATAGAGACCATAGTAGGCTGCTTGGAAGGCCATTTGAACGAACGCGTCGGGGGAGAAGCCGGTGGAAGTGATGAAGTTCTTGCCGTAGTGCTTGAAGTCGAGAGTGCGGAATTCGTTCTGCTCAATGAGGTCCCGCAAGGCGTGTTTCGGCGAATCGCACAGCAACGTTGAGCTCGGGCACCATGTCCCATTCCAGCTTGTGCGGCGTCGTGTGGACATCACCAAAGCTGGAAGGGTCGCGCTTCGAGGGATCTGGGCTGGTGGTAGCCCAGAGCGTTGGCGCCTGTCCATTGATCGTTCGGGCAAACCGAAGGATCGTGTCTGTGTAGACATCGCTAGCGAACCGCAGGACCGTGTGGCCATCAACACCAGTGTGCTCAAAGTTGATGCCCGCGCTACCGTTCTTGCAGACAATAATCTGCAGCTTGTCGTACCATCGGTTGGTGCATGTCCCAATTTGCACGCCCTTCTCAACCTCGCTCGTACCGCAGAGCATGTTGCCGCACAAGGCATCAACGTCAGCAGGCTCAGTGTAATCGAGACAAAGCACGAATAGCGCCGAGTCCACGATTGCAAGACCGTCAGCGTTGTTGGAGCCCTCCTCACGCGTCAAGACGTCACGCAAGCCAGACCAGATCTTTCGGTTTTCGGTGCTGAGGACACCGAGAGCGCCCTTGGCGGCATCCTGAATCCCAGTCTGTGCGGCGTCCTCAATGATCGTCTGGAGGTTGATAGAGATGTCCTTTTCCGTCATGATGACATCAGAATTATCATCCAGAACATCAAAATAATAGAATTGACCGTGGCACAAGACAACGATGTGTTTGGACTCGGGGTCCTGAACGATTTGGCACCCATTCTCGGTAGGAACACGAGCAGTGCCGAAGAGTCGAGAGAATTGGTACATGCATAACGGCGTACCCTTGATCGTGTCCGGGGGCAGCTCTTCCCTGCGCACGGCACGAACGAATTCCAGCGAGGACGCCACAAGCGACGCGGCACGGGTGATTTGGTTGTTTCTCGCAGGCGTAGGGTCATCCTCGAGCAGAAAGAAAGGGTTGAGATTCAGGACGACGGGGTTGTCGTAGTTGAGATACGAATCGTACCCTTAGCTTCGGTCAGCAGTCATTCATGATACGTGAAAGAAGGTACTTACAGAATTGTTCAATGTAGCTCGTCTTGCTCTCGGCATATCGCTTGAGCTTCTCTTGCAGCTCAGCGCCGTCCTGCTTGAGAAACTCGGCCACAGCGGCCTTGGTCTCGCCGTGCTCTCGTGCATTTTGTAGAGGCTTGAGTGCCGCAAGATACTTTTCTGTCGTTTCCGACAGCTCGGGGATGGGCAGATGCGGGAGGTCGTCCTGGTGCGCAAAGGTGACGCCACCCTTGGACTTTTCGTCGTAGACACCCATGGATGCGGCTCCGTTGGTGCCGTTGATCTTGTAACCGATGACGCCGCTGGTGGGGCTCACGCCGTTGACTCCGTTGGTCTTAGTCTTGAGCAAGTCAGGATGCTTCCAGTTGCCGTTGACGTCAGGAAGAGATCGAGGAACAGACGATGGTGTGGTAGGTTGCGCGAGCGTCTCGCCGAGGCTTTTGGGCCGGGAGAAAATTCGCACTTGAGTAGGCATGCTGTCAGCTTCCGGGCTAAACTGGAAAATCTCAAGTGTAGAGAGGCGAGACGCAGGTGCTAACGTTCAAGCCACGCAGCGCCGAGCGGTAGAAATAGTGACAGTCCTGAAGACAGTACGATGGCATTACTCGCGACGATACATGGATTGTTCACAGATGTGTGTATGCGTGTGTATGACAGTGAGCAGGGCAGGGTGGGAGGATCAGAGATGAGGGACAACAAGGCCAAGTGGGTTGTCAGAGTAGGTCAGGGTAGGAAGGGGGTGGGAAGACGACAATATAGCAACGGGGCAACGGATTCAAGGTAATGGATGGCTCAGCTGGACCGAACAGGCTTGAGCAGGGTGAGATGGGGTGCCATGTGCTCGGAAAGACCATGATGAGATCAAGTGGACCCCCACGGCGGTTGGAGGGACCTGAAGCATGAGGGCTGGGGAACAAGAGGGTTTGAGATGGAGACTCGGTACACATGAGACCTTGTCGGTTGTGTCTTGCGGCCAGCACTCGATGCCGTTTACATGTGAGAGGGAGGGAGAGGGCGAAGGTCGTGGAGACTCTAAAGTGTACTTGAAACGGGCTCCGTAGGACCGACGCGAAGTAGCCTCGACGGGAATAGCCCACAGGTGACGTGCCCAGGATACCAAGGATAAAGGTAGCAGAGGGGAGACGATGCAGAAAAAACTGACCTACCAGAGCCAAGACTTGAGCCTAATTCAAACGACACGCAACAGTGGACAGTCGGCTGTCGGCGCGATATGTGATGCAGCTCGAAGGTAGTAATGCGCGATATTCACCCAGGCAAACGGGTGAAACGGATGCAACGGAGGACTGCTTTGCAATCTGTCAGCGAGACGGCTCAGGCAAGGGGGCTATCACGAGCCAGAGGCGAGATGCGGATGCTGTTGCAGATGCTGTAGGCGCCAGGTGGGCATCACTCACCAGGTTCAAGGTGCGACAGCGTCAGCAGACAGGGAACCGTGCTGTGGGCGACTCTGCGAAAAGGGTTCAGCAGTGACACACGCCAGGAAAACGAAAGCCTTGGGCAATCTGTTAAGGTCTCTGAGGGTCGCCACAGAAGCGAGCGGCGGTAGAAGCGATTGAGGCCCCCAGGAGAAAACCCCCCGGGGTCGATGTTGGAGGGGGGGGGGGGGTCAAAGACAAAAAAACTGACGCCGCTGGTGCCTTGATGTCGGTAGGGAAGCGTTCCTTGGAGAGCGCCCCGTATGTCGGGCAGAAGGATGTCGTAGCTGATCTTGGTGGGGCTGTGCCCCCCCCCCTGGCCGCTGGGACGAAGGGATGTCACCTTTTCCTGGCTCGCGCCGCTGGGCTGGGGTCGTCGGAGTGGCCCACTCGGAGGGTTGATTCGGAGGACGTGGTGCTTGGGCGTTGAGCTTGAGGTGTGAAGGAACCAAGAATAGGCTGTGCTGATGTTTGCTCGGTAATATTGTTCCGTTTCCTCACTCTGACGAGGCTTGCTAGATCTGGCAGATGGGACAAATGTGAGACCGTGTCGAGAAAGGGTGTATTCAAATAAATGTTGCCATTGCTAATCCGTTGGTTAAGGAAGATCACGGCGCGGTGTGCTTCTGATGGCTGACGCTCGTGCTGATCCCGTGCTCTGTACTCGTGCTTGTGCGGGTACCGAAAGGTTGGCACAATCGTATGGATGATGTAACCCTTCTCGGTGACATGTGCCCAGAGACGCGCACTGGGGTACAGAGGAGGGAGAAGAAAGGACCCCTCTCTGTCCCACGTCCCCTCCGTCGGCGCCGCACGCGTTGACTAGAGCCTGGGGGCCTTGACGGGCGTAATAGATTGCGGCCGAGCTGCGGGGTGCAGATTGCTTCTCACGGCCTGACGGATCGATCGATATATTGGAGATAACTCGGAAGTCGTCGGTCGACCTGGAGCACCAGAAGTTCCCAGAAGGGCGGACCCTCTGAGGATTCGGAATGCAACTGCGGTCCGAAAGAGATGTGCTGACGAGACGTGGCCTAGACCAGGACGACGGACGACCGGATCGGCACTTGTGCCGTGCGCGTGCTTCCTCGAGTGTCGCGACGTTGCTCAGTCATTCACAACGATGCGGTCCAAAATGAAGCTGGTCTGGTTATATAGGTCCATCGTCCGCCTTGTTGCCGTGTCGCGACTACGCCTCGGAAGGACAGATGGAATCCTTCGTCACTGAATGTCTCCCCCGAGGTGTTTTGCATCCGAGTCGCCACCTGGGCACGAGCTACATCGCCTGATACCAAACCATTGCTGTCTGGCAATGGCCGTCCACGGTTCTGGAGTAGTGAACAGCGCCAGTGATGCGCCTAAACACGCCTAGGACAGACGGATGCCACGGGTCAATGGATGCCTCCCGTGACATCAGTCACTGCCTCAACAGGGGAGGGGAAGGATCTGGGTCACGTGGGGCCAATTCGAACCTTAGCTAAGCACATCTACGTGGATGACGTAGGTGCTCGAATGGATGTCCGAATTGGTCCTCGAATCGACTTCCCAAGGCAGCATAGCGTCGAATGATCAACCCCTGTTCCGATGATGAAGACGCCATCCACATCGCCGTAGCACAGCATGGGCCGCATCGCAAAACCCACTTGCCAGTGCTTGCCAGCTAGTCAATTCCGTTCTTGATCCGATGGAAGCAAGTGGAGGCCTACCTCTGATGGCCTGTCATTGAATAGAGTCTCAGCCCTATCGCCGTGGCCGTGCCTCCTGTCCTTCTTGGGAAGTCCATTCGAGCATGCTGCACGATTGATGCCTACCTGACCCCCCTTTGTCCGCGATGAGAAGTCGTAGAAGGTCTATGCCACGCAGTCGCAGCATGATGTGAGGCGGAGTATTTCGCATGCTCAGCTTCCTTCATATGCCTTGCCCTCTTGGTGACAGGCTCGATCAGCGCGTGGCTGTTTCCAACCATTCATAGCCATCATCAAGCATTCGCTCTCTTGGGGTTTGTTATATTATATTATAAAAATTTCAGAAGCAGCGTTGTTTTTTTCTGCGTCGTACTTCTCTTTGTGAACCTCATCATATCTGTAATTTGACTTCGTAGACCAGGCAATCCCTCACCTGTAACTATGGTCCTCCTCTACACGACAAAAAAGCTCTTCAAATTCTTATTTCCTCCCGATTCTGCGTCTTCCCATGAACTCACCGACAAGAATCCTTCCTCGGAAGCATCCTCTACCTCTCCGCGATCCACCAACACATCCAGCAAAGTATGCAGGCACGACATCAGTCCCCGCTGCGAAACCTGCGTCGCTGCCCGTCGCGCCCAGCTGATCTACCGCTGGAAGATCATACTCGGCCTCTTCCTCCCCTTTACAGTTTCCGCCCTCGACGTGACCATCATAGCGAGTGCTCTACCCTGGATCGCCGCCGACTTTGGCGAGCTGACCCAGCTCAACTGGATCATATCCGCCTTCAACCTGACCTCCGCCGCCTTCATCCCCTTTTGGGGTCAGATCGCTGACATTTTCGGCCGGCATACCACCATCCAGGCTGCGACGCTCATCATGGTCGTCGGCAGCGCGCTGTGCACCGCGGCGCCGACGAACGCCTTCGCCGTGCTACTCCTGGGACGAGCGATTCAGGGGCTTGGTAGTGCGGGTATGGATATTTCGGTGCGGGCCATTGTCGCCGACAAGGTCTCGCTCAGCGAGGATGCGAAGAACTGGTCCATATTTACGTTCATCGGCGGCGTGTCGTGCGGAATTGGGCCAGTGATCGGAGGTGTGAAATGGTGCTGACACCCCAAAGTAGAAACATGAGCTAATAGTTTGATAGGATACCTCACGAGCGCAGATTGGCGATGGTGTTTCGGCATTAACCTGCCTGTTGGTGTAGTAGGCATGGCAGTCGTATTCATTGTGCTGCGAAAGGAGCTTCTTGGCCCCCAACCTATCCCGCGACTCGAAGAGACCGTCGAGACGGGCCGTCGAACAACGTTCAAGCATCGTCTTCGGACCATCGACGGTGGCGGCCAGGTCTTGTCTCTGCTCGGCTTCTCCCTCCTCATCTTGTCGTTTACCTGGGCGGGTGCGACCTACGGCTGGAGCACACCGGCCGTGCTTGTGCCCCTCATCTCAAGCGTCTTCATTATCGGGGCCTTCGTGTGGTGGGAATACCAGATGGCACCGGGCAACATGCTGGCGCGGAGGTTTAATCATCAGCGTGCGATGATTCCCTGGGAGGTCCTCGTCAATCGTGACATCGCTCTACTGTTCTACACGTCCTTCGCGACGGGCATGGCCATGTACTCGGTCATGTACTTTTGCAACTTTTATTTCACAATGGTGAAGCAGCTCGGTGCCGACGAGGCAGGCGTGCAGCTTCTCTATTTTATTCCTGGTCTTGCAGGTCAGTTTCGTGTAATTTTGCGTCCGGGATACTCATCTGCTGACCCTAGCAAACAGCCGGCGTGTACGCAGCCATGTTCATGTGCAACATCAGCCCTGGCCAGACATGGCATCCCATCTTCTTCGGCTCTGTCATCCAGGCGCTCGGCATCGGACTACTAGCATGGGCCTGTTGGATCGAGCATGATGCCACAGTCTACGGCATGATGGCGCTGTCGGGTGTCGGTGTCGGCATGAGGCTCATGCCCGTGCCTCTCCATGGCATGGGCTACTTCCCACAGCGAAAAGCGGCCGTCATCTCACTCGCTCAAGTGTCGGGCCCACTGGGTGGTACACTGGGCTTGACTGTCATGACGACGGTGTTCAACAACGTGGCGGGCATTGAGAGCAGCGAAAGAGACTTTACGGCGCTGCGCGACATGGATACGAGCCAATTGGCGGCCATGGCGCGCGATGCGAGAAAGGGTATCGTGATGGCATACATCTCCATCTCTCCGTTCATGGTGCTTGTGAGTACATCAAAATGACGCTTAGGGCTGAAATCGCTGCTGACACGTACGGCCTCAGTGTGTCGTGGCAGCGGCCATGTTGGGTAATGTTTTCATTGCCAGGGCCAAGGAAGGCGAAGACGA